GAGTCGGTGGAGTCGTGCTTGGAGCAGCACATCCCGCCCGAGGACCTGGCCGAGGTGAAACGGATCCTCTACGGGGGGGAGACCAGGTGCGCTGCCAGGACGGGCTCGCCTCGCTCTCCCCGCGGGCGGGGGTCGCGTCCCGTCCCCTCTCCAGCCTCCCCCTCTGTCTCCGCGGGGCTGCCCAGCCCGGCAGTAAGGGGGAAGGAGTCAGTCTGAGGACGGGGGCGCAGGGGTGGGCTGAGCGGAATGAAGAAGGGTAGGTCCTGTGGCGCTTGTGGTCCTGCGGTGAGGTTAGGCTGTGGTGAGATATCTGGGGTAGTTTGGAGGTAATCCAAGTTTGGGAGGCAGGGCGGTAGAGAGGACGGGTGAGGAGGTGGCTGGCTGGGATGAAGGACCTGAGAGGGATAGTTTTGAGGGGGGGATGGGGAGGTCGTGGCTTCGGGGTGAGGGAGGTGGAAAAGTGGGGGTCTAACATGAGGAAAAATTCGTTGGGGGGAGAAGTGTTTATAATCTGCTTGTGGCAAATGAAAGTTTGTACGTGTGTGCTCCTTGATTTCTGTAGCAAGGTAATAGTGTCTGGAAATCACAATTATAGAGGAGGACACTGGGAGTTGGCTGCCATGGAGGAAAGCAGTGAGATTTGCACGTGACCTGGCTGCTGTCTGGCTGTTCCCTTGGCTGATAGTTGAGTGTAGGGGCATGGCAGATTGGGTGTCTTAGCAGGGGTAGACGATATTTGTGATCCTTTTGATCCATTGTGTTCAGAGCAGCAAAGGAGAACGTTTCATCTTGAAAGTTCTTTGTTTCCTGTTCAATCCAGAAAACTTAATTTGCCAGCTGCTGCTCTATCAGCAGCTCAGGAAAGAGAGTTTGAGCTGCAGGGCTATGGATTTGACGCTGCTCCAGAGCAATTGAGAAGGCCACGTATTGTTCGAGTAGGACTGGTGCAAAACAAAATTCCACTTCCCACAGACACAGCCGTGGCAGTCCAGGTACACAAACTGGGATCCGGGCCATTTGTGTGTAACTCCTACTGCACTGAGAAATAACACACTTCAGTTGTTGAGGGTAGAAACTCCATCATTAAATGTCTGTTGATTGTCTGGCAATATAGGACCTATAACTATCTTAATACAGCATACTATAAGAAATTCAAATGCCACATTCAGTTTTACTGTTTTTCAGAAACATCTCCTGTTGTGTTTACCTAGTGAATTGCCCAAACTGTTTGCAGTCTTTCCAAAGCTAAATATTTAGTCACTGATTTTGTAAGTGAAAATCCTTTACCTTTAAAATGAAACAAAATCGTTTACCCAAAATCAAAAAAGATGGCAATCTGTGGAAACCACAGGTGCAGTTCTTGTTTTAATTGAGAAATGTTCCATTACAGAAAAATCCATTGGAGTAAACGCAGATTAATAAAGTTGTGTTTGTTATTCTTTGTACAGCAGTAAACCAGATCTTATTACAAGGTGACTGTCATCTCCTGACGTCTTAGACACAAAAGCACTGGGGTGACATATATAGAAATAGCCTCCTAAAAGTAGCTTTAAAAAAAGTGAAAGAAAATACCACATTTATAAAATCTCTTGAAGTAGTAGTTTTGTACAGTGAAGGGACAGAACATTTCTGAGGTAATTTGTTTTGGAAAAGTTACCTGTCACAGATGTAAATAATTAATTCAGTATATGAATCAAGTTTGTGGATTCTTTGTAGCATCTGTTAAAAAGACTACCAGTTATATTAATGATTTCACCTTATAAATAACTAGTTAACTATTTCCGTAAATCAGTGTACAGTTGTTGACTTCATAGGTTACTGTTGACTTGTCTTGTGTCTCTTTTTTTTGTAATTAACACCTGAAAGTATCGATGCAAAGAGCTACACCTATTCTTATCTTTAAGTAGAGTACTCAAGAAAAAACTGCTTTGAAACAGTGGGTTTTTTTACTAATTAATAAATGCTTTGATTTTTTTTCTTGGTAATAATCTACTTAGCTCTTTGAACAGAGGGATTTAGAAAATAGTTTGGAGTTAATAACTTTTAGAGAGTGTCCAAGATCCACATGTGTGAGCAGGATTCGCAGATAACCAAGGGAATGGACTGTCCTTACCTCGTATTTTAAGATTCTGAGTACTTGACTTTGAATTCATGTTTATGTAACCTTGTTCTGTAAGTTGTTTACGATGAGCAGCTAAATTAGTAATTTTTGCTGTTTCTCTCAAGAGTTTTGGCAATTTGCAAGTCAGTCAGCAATGAGTTAGCATATATTTACGTGTGGTAACTATGGAATTAGAATTCCATTGGATTGGTTTCTCTATTTTCAGCATCTAAATGCTTTTAAAAATCTGTATCTAACTCCTTCTGTTATCAGTGCTCAGGAATGATAACTCCTTGAGTTATTCCTCCTGAAAGCAGTGGGACTAAGTATAGAACAAAATAAATTTAATGCGAACAAAGCTTGTAAAACCAGACTATTAATATGCAAATGAGTTAGAACATACAGCTTTTTTTATAGTGTGACACTTCTCGCAATCAGGTGGCTGCACTGCACAGACGGATTGAGGAGATTGTGGAAGTAGCTGCAATATGTGGGGTCAACATAGTTTGTTTCCAGGAGGCTTGGAGTGAGTATTTTCTGTGATTCCTGCTAGGTTGTCAGAAGTCGAGTTCCTTCCATTTTAACAAGCATACTGCAGTAGAAGTATGTCTTGTAAGGCTGGTAGTTGAATCATTCTGAAGTGTTTAATTTTTTTGTCTGTGTTCATGTATCAGTGTGTGTTTCTTGAGTAATGTGAATGTTCTTGTAAATTTTGTCTTGCACTGGTGTTTTCCAGCCATGCCCTTTGCTTTTTGTACAAGAGAGAAGCTTCCTTGGACTGAATTTGCTGAGTCAGCAGAGGATGGGCCAACAACAAAATTCTGTCAAGAGGAAGAAAACCAATCAAGCAAAAAAACCCCCACATCCAGCCTCCAATCCCAGCCAATAACTGCCACTGATTAGCATGGATTTCTTTATTTACTGGTCTTGTACTACTGAGAAAACTGAAATAATAAAAATGAAATTTTCACCTTGTTTGACAAATATTATGATATTGAGTAAAGTAGAAATGGACAACAACAACTGTGCTCAGTATTTCTTTTTAAAACTATGTTGCATTTATAGACTGCCTTGTGCTGTGGAAGGCATATGAAACTGCCCATTTAACTATTCCTGAATTTTATGAGGGAGGAACAATTCTTCATGCAAATATTTTTAACTTCCATTTTTAAAAGGTGTTTCTTGTCTAGAACACTTGAGCATTAAATAATGTTTGTATGAAGGTGTGAAGAGAAGAACAGCTAGCCTTTTCTGAACAGGGAACGCTTTCACACAAATCTTTTGCATCTTGTGAAATAAAAAAAAAAGTAGGGGGCTTTTTATGAATCCAAGGAGATTTGTTATTGTCTGGCTCTTATTTTTCCAGAGACTGTTGATTGCAAGAGTAGCAGACTTTATTTTTGTTTTCTGTCAGCTTTTTAATAAGGAATTTCAGTTATTTTCTTTTACGAGTGATTGAAACAACAAGATTATTTTGATACCAGATTTGCCCAGGCACTGACCTACTAAGCTTTTGTAGACAGCACAGTATCTTTAGTCTGATGGAGAGCAAATGTGTGTTGCTTCTCACTATGGAATTAGTGACACAATGGAAGTTTGGAGAAATAAAAGAAGGAGAAGTGGTTTGAAGTAAAAGACGATATGTTAGTAAACTGGCAGTCAGGAGTTGCTGTATTTCCCACTCATGTTATTTAACATTTACAGTTAAAATGAAAATAATTACTACAGGCTTGTATATAATAGAAGAATTGTGTTCATTTGTATAGCTTGCAAAGAAATACAATATGGTTGTGATATCCCCAATCCTGGAGCGAGATGAAATACACGGGAGAACTTTGTGGAATGCTGCAGTGGTCATTTCTAATTCTGGAGCTGTCCTTGGCAAAAGTAGGAAAAATCACATTCCAAGGGTTGGAGATTTCAATGAGGTAAGATGCAGTACTGTGATTATCAAGCTAGTCTTACTTTGCAGCTCTTGTTTGTGTCAGCACCTGTTGTACCAGTCGTTGGCAGGAAATGTATTTCTAGAAAATGCGGTTCATTAAATGTCAAGTCAGTTTTTCTCAGGTGAAATTATAGTAAGTTAATTTATCAAGAATAGCGTGTGATGACTCTTGAAGGACAAATAACATTCAGTCTTTGTCGTGTGCTCTTCCTTGGCCCGATGGAAACTGCAAAAGTATTGAGGATCTTTAAAACAAAATTCTGTAAGTCACAGCTTTGTTACGTTGGTTGTGCATGATTGGCTCACATAGTTTTTGTGTGTGTGCATATTGAACTTACTTTAATTTGCAAGGCAGTTGTTTCATGGTTCAGGTGTGAGCATTGTTGATGGTCTTGATCTCTGTTTCTCTGTGAGGTTGTCTTGGAAATGACAGTACTTTTGCTTATGTTCCTTTGAGCAGAATCACTTCATTCATTACGCTTCTGACTGAATAGTTGGTTTAAGGCATCTTCTGTTTACTAATCACATTACTTCTGCTGAAGCCCCCAGCAGTTTTTGGGCCATCCTCCAGAATCAGCTTCAGAAACTGAGCTTGTAGTAAAGGCAGTGTCAGAAGAAAACTGGTAGATCTGAAATGTGTTTGTCCATCCATAGAATTATCACAAGCAGAAAGATCAGGATTAAAAATTAACCAAAGTCTAAAAATACATTATCTTACCTAACTAAATGTCTGCTTGTTAGCTAAAGTGAGTAATTAACAGGGGCATTTCTCCTAAGCACTGGAGAAACGACTACCTGCAGTTGCTTTTGTTCCTTGTCCGAATGCTCCAGTCACTAAACTGAGGCTTCAGAATCCAAACTGCTTTTTTATTAATTTTAGATGTTCTTTTGTGTCTTGAAACTTAAGAGACCTCTGAAGTTTTGACTTGGGCTCCTAGATCTGATCAGACTGGTTTGTGTTTCTTCAGAGGAGGCTGTTAATAGGTTTCTAAACAATGGGATTTCTGGCAGAGGCCTGTCAGTCACCAGTGTTGACTTATATCTTTAACAATTATATTTAATACTATTTTATCAGATCTTGTAGCTTGCAAAACAGCAGCTAACAAATCAATATGAAATGCAAGCACTAAAAAAAAAAAAAGAGTTTTGGTTACTTTCCACATTCTTGATTCGTTCCTTGTGTAATCAAACAAAAAATAAATTCATGTTGCTTGTACTAAAATATGATGTTTTTCAGTTTTCCAGACAGTGTTTTGTGGAGCATCAGCACATTCAGAGAAACATCTTGTTTCCAGCTATGAAACTGTAATGAAAGACACTTACAAAAAGAAAATATTTTTACTATTCCATATGAAGTATAGAGTGTCATTAAGAGTTTTGCATAATTCCTAAAAGGAGTTAGTTCTTAAAATCATAAATGGCAGAATTACCACAAAACAATCTATTTATATCTTGCAGGTATACTGTAAGGATTTGACATTTCTTGTTGTATCTACCTCATTATAGAAGCAGGTAGTGTTTACCTAAAACAGCGCTGTCTTTTTAGGTAGTTTTAAAATCACAGAATCATAGAAAGTTTTGGGTTGGAAGGGACCCCTAGAGGTCATCTAGTCCAACCCCCCCACAGCGAGCAGGGACACCGCTAACTAGATCAGGTTGCTCAGAGCCCTGTCCAACCTGGTCTTGAATGTTTCCAGGGATGGGGCCTCCACTACCTCTCTGGGCAACTCATTCCAGTGTTTCACCACCCTCATTGTAAAGAATTTCTTCCTTATATCCAGCCTAAACCTACCCTGTTTTAGTTTAAAACCATTACCTCTCGTTAGCAAAGCATTAAATCCGTTCTTCTGAGCTGAGCAATTGTGATGGAGGAGCTTCAGAAACCACCAAGACTACAAGGAAGGACTGTGCTCATCTCTGTTACTTTAATGTTTTGTTTATTGACAAAGTTAACCCCCAAGGAAGGGTTGAATTTGAAACTATTTTTGTGAATTGTCTCTATAGAGCAGATAGGGAAAGGAACCTTGTTAAAATCAACCTTTTTGAATCAGTGAGAACTAAATGGAAAGGGGAAAGAGGTTGGTCTGTAACCTATTCAGCTGTGTGTGGGAGGGCATATAAATAAACAAAAATCAATCCTCCTTGAGGCATCGCAGTTTGTTGCTGTGGAGATGATTGTGATCTTCTGGTGAGAAATAAAGAAATAAGAACTGATGAATTCCCTGAAGCAACAGCATTTTTGTTTTTCTTCTTCTATTGTAATAAAAGAAAACTAAGAATAGAGAAAAAAAAAAAGGGAAATATATTGAATCAGTGAAATTGTTTTGAAAATGGATTGTGTGAGGTGCCCACTACGTGGTGTGCTCTCTGCAGACATGAAAGGAGATAAAATCAGTGCCCAAGGGACTGTGCAAATTCATGAGACCTGGTAATAAATAAGAAACATGAGATGTCACATTTGCTGGGCCTACTGAACAGCTAGTCCTTGGTTTCAGAAGATGATCCCGCTGTACTTATCATGCCATTTTACACTTAGATGAGGCCCTAGTATGTTCCCTAGCTGTAGCTGTGCTTGTTTTAGGCCTGATGTGGTTCTGCTTCGTTCAAGACCCACGCCAGTGGTTGTTAGAGTGGACAGATAGGTTCAGTAAAAAGGGAGTTGTTTTACAATACACCTTTCTTATATGATAAGAGGCATGTCCCATTGGGTTAGGCTGGTGGATTACGTACCTTGCTTTTCTGTCTCTGAGATGATCACAGAAAGGGATTCTATAGGGATGTTGGGAGGCATATTCCTGTCTACTGCATTTTTTAATCTGTGGTTCTCTTATCAATGACTTTGTCTAATCCCTTCTGAACCTGGTGATAATACTTGCTTTCACAAAGAAACAAATTTCAGAAGCACACTGCCTGAATGAGAAAAATGACTTTGGTTGAAAACAGGTACAAGAGTGTAATTTCAGTCAATACCCACTACTGCTGTTGGTTTGGGATTTCTGTATTCATCTTATCCAATGCTTTTGTGATTTTGTAAAACTCATTCATAATACCGCCCTCAGCCTCGTGACTGCAGACTGAAGAGCCTTTTCAGTTGCTCCTCACAACAGAGCTGCCCCATCCCTTTCACTGTTTCAGTTGCCTTTGATTATTCCATCTCTAGCTAATGTCCTTATTGAGATGCGGATACTGGAATTGCCCGGAGTACTGAAGCCACGGATACACAGAATTCTTATAAACCAGCAAAATGATGTTTTCTGTCACGTTTCAGTACCTTTCCTGTTGATGGCGGAGTTTCTTGTATTTTTTACTACCAATAAGCAGGCAACTGTCAGTGACTCCACACATACCCTTTTCTTGTGTCTGGGAAAGAACCGTTTCTGTATATTTCATTTAGAATATCTCTGTGAACGTTTGTCTCTCTTGATAGCTGTTAACAATGCGCTATCCTATCTTTCTCTTCACTAGTGCCTTTTACAGGAACCACTGCATTTCTAACCATGTAGAGATGTTTGATAGGAGGAGATGAATGTTCGCAGCATATGGTAAATGGAATCTTCTAAGCCAGCAGTTGGCTGCAGTTTCCTTAAGGAATGTTGTCTAGATTTATCCTGTGACTTTCCTGGTGGTAGTTTTAAGCCTTCTGTTTGTTTAGAGCAGTAGGCACATAGGAAATTTAAGGAACTAATCTTAGATGTACACTGATACTTCCTTATAGCATTCATAAAATTACTGCATGTCATTACATAATAGGTGAATGTAAAGGAATTCCATGTTCTTTAAACAGTGTTCATCATCCCTCTCTTTAATGAGAATCAAAGGATCATGATGATTTAGGAAAATCTACTTATGTGGTGAAAGTACTAAGACAGATGCCTAAAGTTTGGCAATTTGTAGATCTCTCTTGAGCTTCTGTAGAAGTTTCTAGCATTAATAGAAGTGTTTATGTCAATGTCAGATGGTGCTTAGGTGTAGTGTGAGTGAGGGGAAACAGAAAGAGGCTTGAATTTGATCTCAGCAGCCTGAGTGCGCCACTTCTTGCTGTATACCCATTGCAGTGCAGCTATGTACTAAATGAAAGGTGTTGTCCTCACTCTTGGTCTAATGAAATTGGTAATCAGAACTTGGGAAGTGTCAAAGCAATGTTGGAGGTATTTCTTCTTGCTCTTTTAAGAAATCTGCCTTTGTAGTTTTCTGTTTATTTTGTTCGTTTGTAGTCGACTTACTATATGGAAGGAAATACAGGACACCCAGTGTTTCAGACACAGTTTGGAACAATTGCTGTGAATATCTGCTATGGGCGCCATCACCCTCTGAACTGGCTCATGTATAGTATGAGTGGAGCAGAGATCATCTTTAACCCTTCAGCCACTATTGGAACACTCAGGTAAAACACAAACTGATTTAGGCCATTGCATGCTTTCTGGGTTAACTGAACCTCTGAGTACCTTGCTGGGGCCTCGGGGGCACCTTGCTGAAGTCTTGGAATCTGAGGTATCAGCTCCTTGTTTTGCCTTCACAAAAGAACCTGCATTTTACTCCATCTGGAGTTTTGGCCTACCGGTCTGCTCGGAGTCACTAATTCTCTTCCTGAACTTTAGTTGTACATCTGCAGGTCTTTTGTCTCTGAGACAGTGTTAACCACCATCCAGCTGGTGTTCTGAAAACTAATGAGAATTTATTTAGATTATCTGTGTAATATTTTTGCTTTATGATAGGCAGTAGTAATTTACATTCAGGCTTAGCTTGCCAGCTTGCATTGTCCACGTAGGAGCCAGTAAGTATAGTATCAGATGGCAGTTTTCAGAGCCAAACTGAGAAACCCTTTTCTCAGAAACTTTTTAACTGTTGGCAATTTTATGATTATCAGGCCTCTTGAACCAGACTGAACCAGTGTAAACTGTTTCCCTTGAGATTAATCTTCTGCAGATTGACATTAATTGCACCCTACTAACTTGATTTCCTAAAAGAAAAAAAGCCAGCTCAGTGAGCTAAGAAAATACACTTCTTAGCTAGCCCGTAATGATTAATTTGTGGATTAGATCTTGAATATTCTTTGCCTCTGCATTATCAGCATCGGTCACATTTCAGTATAATAACCTTTGAATGCGCCATGCTTCCAAAGCATTGTCTGACACAGGCTGTTTATTGCTTGGGATACTATGATGTGATGCAAAATAACTGCATTTCTTCAGGACTGGCAGGGGTGCTTTCTTTAGGTAGAAACCTTGTATAAATGGTTTCAGTGGTTCTTTATACCACTCTTCTTGACAAAGTCACCATGCCTTCCTTTCATTCTTGTTCTATTCTGTTGTTTGCCATACTACTCAATACTTTCAAATTCCAAATTAGACTATTTGTGAATTGAGGTGTGGGATTCCAGAGCGTGTCCACAAGATGTGATGGTAGTTTATGCTTAATTATAAGCATTAATATTTTTAACCCTTTTCAAAATAAGTGGTAAACTTTGTATGGGGGGCAAGTCTGGATTTGCAGTCTTCTTTGGACAAATAAATTTCCTTTGTGATTTAAAAAAAAAAACACATTTTGGGCTAGCTGAACTGTCTTTTTTGAGTTTCCAGCTCCAAAGCTAAGTTTTATGAAGCTAACAGGAGCATATTTGGTTGTTACTGATGAAATTGTAATACAAGTATAATATCCAGTAGCCATCAAAAAAAGAAGACATACTGATCTCTTATAATACTAAAAATTTGTTCTCGTTTCTCTTCTCTCTCCCTTTAGTGGGGCTTGTGTGAGTGGACTGATTGTAGAATACTTTTGTTTTTATTTCTTTAGCCCTGGAGGAAGAGATATTTCCGGTGTCAGTTTTGTAAACTGTAATGTATGAAATGTTCAGGCCGTATAGACTTAATATTAAGCTGGGTGTACAAGACAACAGAAGAGTTAGAAATGTAAGAGGAATATATTTTTTAGCATTTTCCATTTCTTGAGGATTCACCCAAGCCCCTCACTTTTCCCTGTTTAATGTAAATTTTGAGGAGTTCTGTCTCTCTAAGAAGGTCCAAGAATATTAATCCAATTTTTATTGCTGACCAGCTAGAAAATTCTGAGGACACTGAGCATTCACAATAGAGCAGAAGTGGTGAAAATGAGATCAGAGGCATAAAGTTTTCATACCCACAGCCAGTTCAGATGCAGAGAACCATGTATTTATGAACCTGGAAAGTAGAACTGTAGGTTATATGCAGTATTCTATCATTAAACTGCCTTTAATAGTTTTTGGTATCAAAGATAATTTAGGTTGAGTAATGTTGAAAAATGTGCTTTGAAAAAAGCTGAATGAATACACAATGCTTTGGGGGCATTTATGTTGCTATTGGAATAATATTTGTGATATTTGTCCGCTTACAGCCCATTAACAGGGGAGCAAACAGAAATTACCCTGTTGTCATACAGCACTTCATTGGTACTTTGGGTGCTTCAGGCTCTTCTAATTACTGACTTTCAGTTGATTGTTTTTAAGCATATAATTTTTATTGCAGGAAGAGGGCTCTTGAGGCCCATGTAAAAACTGTCTCTGGGGTAGCTTCTTGGCTATAGCCTTTTTTTCTTGTCTCTCTTCTTCTGTGAAACTGCAATTTGCTGGAGCTTTTCAATAAAATCTGTTTTTCTTAGAAGATCTGGCTGCCATACTCAAAGCAATTGAGAAAAGAGGCAGTAAACCAAGTGGTTTCAGTCAGTCCAGTGACCATCTCTTAAGTTTCTTGAGGCTGACTGGGAGACTAACGAGTCAGATGCTTGCAACCTTGTCTTGGTACTCAGAATCTGGCAGGTACACACTATCACAGGAGCCTACAAATTGTATCACCTTTGTTTTGGAGCTCTGAGTACTTGCAGACCTATTAACTGGTCTGATCCCTGTGTATCAAAATATTTAATAAAGACTGTTTCAGTTTTAAATACCAGTCTGAATTGAAGTCTCATTTGGAAGAAGATAGAGGCTTGTAAAAGAGAAGGAATTTTCTTAGTCCTCATTTCTCGGTTCTTGGTTTTATCTAAATTTAGTGACTGGTTTGATAGATGATTACTGAGAAGTTATTGAGGTGCTTTTGTTAAACATGCTTTCTTTTTCATCAACCCAGCATAAGAAATGACTTACTGGTAAGTGCTATGAAAACTGGTTGAAATAATAGAAGTAGGAAATTTTGGTGGAAGTGGATTTTTCTTTTCATTTTTTTTATTATTCCCATAATTAATTTTTTTCATTCATTGCTGCAAAAGCCTCTCCTGGACCATTTGAGGGAAAAAAGGAGGCAATTTGTATGAATCTCTTACAGCTTTGCTGCAGATTGATGTTTGATATATTGAAAGTTAGTGGAATGTGAAAGCAGGTGTGTAAATTCCTTTGTGTAATTTGGAGAGTAAACATTTTACACTTTAATTGCTTTGAAAATGTATTAAATTTTTTCTTTATTTTTTTCCATGACAAAGACTTGTTTACCAGGTTATCAGATAAAATTGTTTATACTTATATTTGAGCAGAAAATTATTATAGTGCTTGACTGTATCTGTGAGGAGATTTTGATTGTAAGGGCAAGATCAGTCTTAGCAGCGAACTCTGGCTTCTGTGATAGAAAATGTGCAGTGCAAGACAGTTATCATCTAAATTTAGCTCTGAAGTAGGCAAGTAGTGAATACCTGCCTCCCCTTTTGTGTGTTGCAGCGAGTCACTGTGGCCAATTGAAGCAAGAAATGCTGCCATAGCTAATCACTGCTTTACATGTCCTATCAACAGAGTAGGAACGGTATGTACTTTGCAAATTCGTTTCATAATTTAGGTATTGTAGCATGAGTTAATTCAAGGTAATGAACTGAACAGCACTTGAATGCATGGATTCCTCTACTGTATAGCTGCTGTGTTGGTGTTTATGATATGAAGATGGACAGTGCTAAAGAGATTGAGAGCTGCCTTGTTGCTGGCGGCCTGCTTTTTGGTCGCAGCTGCTTCCTGTTCTTGAATTGCTCTCTTTGTCATAGGTGCCCACCCTTGTCGTAATTCTCCTAGTTTCGATGGTGAAATCAGTATTCTTTTAGCCAAAATGACTGAAAATGAAATACATCCTCAAATCAGTGGTACACAACTAGTTGCTGTTGTACAGATACTACCTCTTTCTGGACCCTGAAATTCTATAACGAAAATCAATATTGTACGCAATAGGTTATTCTTGCTTTCAGATTAGTCCAAATACCCTACATGGATGTTCTCTTACAAGGTTCCCTGCAAAAATCTAGACTTGTTCTTGCCACTATGTGAATACAGTTGCCTTCTTTGTGATCCACCAAGAAGTGTTTGGTTAAATGTGTCCTTTTTTTTGCCTCTTCTTTAGACTCGTGAAACTCATACGAGACATGTTCCCCGAAGTGTAGGAGCAACAGGCAGTGATAGAAAAAGACCTTGTTTTCTAGCCTATCCACCGTAGAAACTAGGCCCCTCTGATGACTCCCTTTAGATAGTGCTGATAGTATGCCAGAAAAAATGTTAATAAATTTGTATAAACTTCCATGCTAAATATGGTAGACTAGCAAGGATTTCTTGAATGAACTGGAATTATACTGCCACCTATGGATTCTTCTTATTTCACAGGAATACTACAAAAATGCTTTTACTTCTGGAGATGGTGGAAAAGGTATGTTCAGAAATCACATTCAGTGGTTGCTAATAATTGTTAATTAGAAAGTCTGAAGAAACGATAGCTCTCCTGCAAGTGTCTATCCCATAACAGCTATGGTAGCTAGTGACTGCCTTTAAGACTGCTGTTTTGTAGGCTGGAGAGAAGCAGCACTTCCTATTGAAGGCAGTAGTGCCATGGTGTGTGGTCACCAGAAGTTCATACCTAAGGTTTCTATGGGTTTTCAGAGGATGAAGAGTTTTGGAGTCAATGCAGTATTGTAGGACTGGAAGACAGAAATCCCACAGATTAGCACGTGTTGTCAGTGCGTGGCTGACATTTTATTTGTTGAGATTATTAACAATAGTAATTCTGTAGTCCTGAATCCCCGGCCAAGCCATTTTGTCCTGACTCACAGATTTGCTGGAAGTTAAAAAAGAGAACGCTCAAAGAAGAGCATTCTCAAAGAAGAGCATGAGATTTGCTTGTATGTACTTCACTTGTATGTTGAAACACTGTAATTTGTCCTGTGGCAACCAGGACACCTGGCTTCATCTGGAGTGGGCCTGAGCCTTTTCTTGTGGCTAGTTTTGGAGCTAAGTGTTTGTAGCAGCTGCATCAAAAAGGTCAGTGGTATCCATTGCTTAGCAGTACAACAGATGCGGCTGATTTTTGGCACAACTCAGAGCTATGTAATATGAAGTAAGGTGATTTTCCCCCCCCCACCCCCATGCCTCAGATCCCAGTGTTTTCATCTCTGACCTTGTATTGAAATTTGAATGGGCGCATCTTTGTTAGCTGTTTTGGAAATTTATGATTTGACAATTAGAATTCATTTAAATTCTAAATTAAAAAACAAAAGCAAAGCCTTTAGTTCAGGGACTTGATAATGGGAAGGCATAATAATGCATTATTTAAAAGGCAATGCGGTGAGTTTTTTCCTGTTAATTCAGTGTATGTGAAAGCTGTACCGTGCATGAGAAGTAAGTACTGGTTGAAACTGCAGTTACCTAAGGATTGTGCTGTGATTCTTCAGGATGATATCTTGCTTAAAGCACAGTGAGTGAGCAACCACAAGAAATTAAGCCAGGTTTCATGGGACACTGCATACGAATTTGTATACTTATTTGCAGATGGTGTTACATGCTTTTTAAAAATTTCTTTAAGCACACCATGATTTGGGCCATTTTTACGGCTCAAGTTACGTAGCTGCACCAGATGGCAGTAGGACCCCAGGACTCTCTCGCACTCAGGATGGACTTCTGGTGGTGGAGATGGATCTGAATCTTTGCAGGCAAGTCAGTGACAAATGGAATTTTAAGGTAAGCCTGCTTGTAAACAAACTTGCATACAAACTTGCATACAATATTAGAACAAACAAGCTTTCATAATGATCATATAATCTTCCAGTACTTAAAAGGCAGCCTTTTTTTTTTAACAGTCCAAAGCTTAAATTGTTGCACTAATTTAACATGGTGTTCTGGAGGCCAAAGGTATAAATGGATTCAGAAAAGGAATTGCCAAATTCAGGGAAACTAGGCCAATAGCTTTTAAATGAAAAATCTTTGGTCCTTAAGTGTGGATTGCCCAGAGCTCCGAGGACCACGAAGGGAAGTGTGTGTGGTTTCTTTGTGCAGGTTACGTAGGCATTTGCCACTGAGCTGAGATGGGCCTTTCATGTGACATGATATGGTAGTTCTTTATATTTTTATAGGCCTTACTTGTCAGTTTCGGTGAAGTTTAGTGAAAACCCAAAACCACAATAATCTTTAAGCTTCAGGGAACTTCCTGTGTGCAAAATTCTTGCAGTGTTAACTCCCTGAATTTGTGGATGTGTTGAAGCCACAGAGAAAGAACTGTGTACATTCATCTCTGAAACATCCTAAGACACTTTTGGATTAATCTAAATGAGATTAAGACAACTGCAGCCCTCTTCACGTGGCTTTAGCAAACTTATTTATTATTATTTTTTCACATTTTGAGATAAAGCTTATTTGGATCATCTGTCCTGAGGGTGTAATTTGATTTAATTTGTCCAGCAGCAGTGCTGGCTTAGGAGATTGCCACCTCAGCACTGCAGTTTGCTAACTGTTCCATTGTGCCAGTACAGGCTGTGTGGTCTGCTATATCATACACCATTTTTGTGAAGTGACCAGATTTTTTTTTTTTTAAATCACACCCTAGTATCTTCTTTTAATCTGATCAAGTTTATGGCAGGCCCCACAAATATTCTGTTGGAATAAAATAAATAGGCTTTGCTGATGAAGAAAACATCTTGCTTGCTTCTGTGGAGATAGGTCTTTCATTCTAGTCCTCAGTACTTCTCTGCTAGAGACTAGAGGTTTTTTTAATCTCCACTCTTAAGATCAGCATCATTTGAATCCTAACAAAGTAGACCAGAACTCCTGGCTAGCAACCATCACAATATATGTAGGTTCTTCAGTGATAATGCAGTATTTAAAATAAGTAATCATTTGCACGGAATGTTGATTTTTGCATATAATGTTCCTGCAAGCAGACATTTATTTTATAGAGCCGGTATATTTGGAACTACCTTGAGCATTACAATATAGTGCAATATATAATGTGGTTTGATTTGAATTTGATGTAAAAATACAAAATTTTTATGGATTTGAAATGCTGAATAAATGTTTTAATTAAAACATAGTAATTTCTTAGCTAGAGCTTAATTTCTTTGGTAATGCTGCCAATCCATATATAGGGACTAAGGACAAAAAGTAATTTCAGGTTGTCTTCTGGACAGAATTGCATTTGGTATTTTCCAGAGATGTGTGGTAGGTATATGGTTGTTGACATTGTGGAATTACGTTATGCTGAGAGATTCCCAGTTTTTTTGAGTCAGTCAGGCATTTAGTTTTGCTTTGCCACTGAAACCCATTGCAGAGTAGAGATTTAGTGTGTCAGGAATCACACGGAGCATTGCTTATAACAGCTTAGTAGGGGTAGCTGAGGAAAAGCAATTGTATTGATTAGGAAAAACAAATAGTAAAAGCAAAACTGACTTTAGCTGTTTTGTATAGAATTGCTTTTTTTTTGTTGTCTTCAAGTCTTGTGCTTTTGGCACCTAAGTTTTATGTTCATGGTGTGCATTGTTATTGTTGGTCTTTTGGCGCATAAGGCATAGCTGTGGCTTTTGTTTATATGACAGGGGATATGTTTCCTTTGCCCCTCATCTGTGGCCAAGACAGAGGTAGTTCTTGATATGAGGGGAATGAGGAATTACGAAGTCATCGTTTATCTGCCGCAAAACTCCTTGATACCAAGTAGGAACCCTATTTAACCTGCTCTGGTGTCTGCAGTTTGCATTCAGTGATGGCTGAAAGGGATGTTAAGTAGAATGTCTTTGCTAAAATGACAGCAGCAAAGTAGTTAAACAAATTGTCCTCATTACACCCTGGCAAGAAGGAAGTAGTTTGCCCCTCTCAGAGCCACTGTTGTAGACTGTGCACTTCAGAAGAGGATGGCACGACGTAAAGTACTCTTATTTCAGCCTCCTAGCTTACTGTAACACTCAAAGCAATGATAATATTTTGTATTATTAATGAAAAAGTAAGAGCAACCCAAATATCGTCAGTGGCACGTACACAGACTTATTGCTGGCAGCAGGGTTGATCAGTTGTCGAGGTCATAACATAAAGACATAATTACATATACACTCCTTTGCCTTCATTGACATAACTTAAAAAGAGAATATTGTTGATACATAGGAAAGTAAGTCCACCTTTCATATTCAACTGTCAGGTGTCCAAGATAATCAAAATAGCATTAAATAATTAGTCAGCAGACATGACTGTCAGTGAAGGAGAGCTGCAAAGCAGGAAGGTGTTAATTTTAAAATTTTACTTTTTAGAATGGAAATGCACTTCCACTCTTTTTTGTGTAGAAGTATAGTTTTAGGCAAAACAATGCGGGTGCTTTATAAAAGTATATTATTTTGTGCTAAGGCGCTGGAGCTCTTGCATTTGACTTAATTATAATTTTACTGTTTGGGGAAATTAAAATGTCATCATAAAAAAAATGGTGGATATAAATATTTTCTGCTGAAGTACTTTCATAGCTCACTAAAAGAACTGAAGCTTTGATTTTTCTTTTCCAGATGACTGGTAGATATGAAATGTATGCAGACAAGCTCACTGAAGCAGTCCAGCCTTATTTTATACCCAATATAATCAAAGAGTAAGAGAGAGCATCTAATTACAATCAAATGTTACATAAGAAATTAAAAGGTACTGTTGGGTGATAGCTTTACTGTGGATCACAAGTTGTTATTAATGTTGTCATTTTAATTTCCTGTAACCAACTTTTAAATAATAGGATTCAAAACTGTGTTAAGTAAAATAATTGACAAATGGCTTCTTGGGTTTGGTGGGGTTTTTTGTGTCATTTACAGTAACGAGTCCAAACTTTTGTTCCTTACTGGAAATGTATCCAATAGGAACAAGTTGATGATGAAGCATAAGCTTTGCATTGTGTCCTGTTTACTTCTGCTTTTCAGTTTTTACCCAAATGCATAATTTGGGGAGAAAGGAGGCATACATTGTTTTCATCTGTGTTTTTTTTTAAATTACGCATAATTTGATTCAGCTTTGTTAAGAGCTAAGTGATGTCCCAGACATGTCCTAGTTGTTTGAAGATCTGTGAGTACTGTAAAGTAAGACCGCTCTGGTTCTTTCTGTTTCCCTTTACACTCTGTATTACAACCACAGCCGGACTAATACCTTTGATGGGCTCCTTCAAGATGCAAAAGTAGTGCTGCAGACAGATGCTTTTAGTATCTTTGGAAGCTCAGTGCTGCGTTGTGAGGCAAAAATAGAAACACTAGCTAAAGCACAGGCAAGGCTGGTGCAGTTGCATACTTTTCATTGCGAACAGAAAGCCACGGAGATGCTATTAGGGATCAGGATGGGTAATGAAAACTACTTCCCTGGAGCTGTGCTCCAGTAGGATACTCGGTGGTTGTGGAGTACACAAAACAGCTATTGAATGTAGATAATAACAATACATTTGCTATTCTCATCTACTAGCATATATTGAAATTTTGTTTTGTATGATTCAGGTGATGCAGCAGGTGTTCAGGAGGTGCAAAATGAGTACAATTTACAGCCTAGCATCTAGGAATTTTTAGCTGAAATAAATATTTGAACTCTTCATTTTTTTCCAAATTACAATTTCAGCTGTGCCATTTCCAGTTAAGTGTGTAACACAGCCTCTAAAGATTTTTCCAACATTTTTCATAAGCTAGTTAATAAATGCACTTGCTACAATATGTTACAGGGTTATCTGTGACTTTAAACCTTTATTGAGAATGGCTTAATTACAAATAAAAATATATTTATGTATAAAATCCCTGCATGTAAAATACTCCTTCCTTTGCTATTGACATAATGAAGGAAACAAAGTGACAAAACATGTTCAGAATGAGTATTTTGATAAGATAATCTTGTAATGGGAGATGAAGTTTCAGAAAATGCAGGTGTTCTGAATGCTTGTGCAGTGACCTGCTTTTTAATCTGAATTTGTGTTACATAAATACTCGGGTCTTTTCACTCAGCTTGTGCTTCTTCCTTGTGTTTTCATCTCGTCACTATCTTCCATTTGGCAGCTAAAAGAGATCCTGCTGCAATGGTGGAGCTCTCCTTTTGTCTCTGTTAGCTTGAACAGCTTTGTCTCTTTCAGTTTTGTTGAAGTATTTAAACCCTTGGTACCAAACATTTAACAGTCCATATTGTTACACCCATCTGTGCACTTCAGACCACTTAGCATGTCTTTAGGTTCGTATTTTATGTTTAAGCTCCAGATTTGCATTTGGACAGCTGAACCAGTAAAAGGCTGAATGTCAGTTACGAGCCATTTGTATGAATTTTTTTTATTTAGCTAACCAAGCCTGCTCTAAAATAAATTCTGTAGCAATTTAATGGTATTGAATGAACTACCTAACTGAAAATGCATGGGTTAAGGAAGTACTGTCAACCTGTAGTTTACGTACCTGTTAATTAGTAACATAGTTAATACAATCTCTCTAAATCAAACATCGTGAATTTGGACTTGGACATAAAAATTCCCAGATCAGTAGCCTTCTGGTGACTTATTCTGGAGGAGTCGGAAGGCATTATCTGTAACAGGTTTTGTACCTTTTTTATGAGATTCTGCTGGTGGCACTAATGTACTGGTTCTACTGCTCACAAATCACATCTTAATTTTTACTCATTGTGCAAGTATCAGTGTCAGAATGTATTCCAACTTCACCAATGAAAAGCAAAATCTGATACACTGAACATTTCTTGTCACATACTTTTTGTTTGGAACTTTTTAAAGGCTGCTGAATTTAAAATGTCTGTTGGTATTTTTAGCCTTTGTACAAAGGAGCATTTGATTCTACTAAGCATACCTACTAAACACTTTCCAGATGCTTTTCAGTAAGTCAGCATCTGATAAATGTTTCCTCTTAAAAACTTTTTTACTGTACTGGAAGTCAATTCCTATTTATTATTTCCACCACTAAATAACTTTTACTGTCACACCATGCAGCGCCAGAACTCAAGCAGTTCTTCTCCTAAAACCATGCCAAAGGTGAGATCTCTATCTTAAGTGCAAAATAAAATTTTGCTAGCTTTACATCAGTATTAGTATTGATTTTTCTACCCACTTCAACATATGCAGGACTAGAGAGCAAGACTTGTAGGAAATTGCGATGGATGAATGTGAAATAGGCGGCTATTTCCTACACTATACAGTGCTTCTCAGCAAAGTAATAAAACCCAAGTAATCCATGAAAAGATTATGAATGTGTTGGTAACAGTTTCACTTGATAATGTCTGAATACAGTAACTCCAACTTAATCCAAATACAGCTGTAGTATAAGAGCTAGAAAATCTGAGTTCCTGCATTTTTACTTGTAGCAAAGAGATGTTTATATTCCTTCTTTTCTTAATTGATTTTAGCTCTTCTTAGAAGGCCACTGAACTAATACCAGTAGCAAAATTTGGCTCAAATTATGATTCAGCATTTTAGTTACAATCTAGTGTATGCTGTCAGGTATTTACAATTTACACATAAAATATATATCATTAGTGGGGATGATCATTTTCTGTATTTGCTTAGGAAGTTCAAAGTTTATATTTAAAATGGATTCTGCAGAAACTGGCACATGTGCAGGGCGTAATGTTCAGAGGTTTTTGCAAAGAGCAATAAAGACTTCTAGGTACAAATAAAACATCTTCACTTAAACTTTTAGGGCAATACGGAGCTCTGAGCAGTCATCCTAGAGGATTTAGCCAAAAGAGATTGAGTTTATAGTACAAGGGAACAATACCAATAACTACAATTCAAACTTTAATGCAGTGGCATAAATGCTAAATCTGCGTATGGTGAACTTGGGAAGTTCCCTTGAGTAAACATATTTCATTCCTACAATGCAGACAAAGTGATGAGACAGCAAGGCATTTTTGTTATTTAAAAGAGGTTTAACTTTTTCCTTCTGTAATACCCTGCCGAACCTCAAATCTCTACATTTAGGATGAAGATCAGCCCTTGATGCTTTGACAGAAACAGGTATTTTCTACTTTTTTTTTCCTAGTTTTGTTTCCCTAAACCTATGCATTTATTAAGTGTTAAAATTTATAGATTTGGTGCTTTTTTTCTCATGTGTTTAATTTGAAAATAAGCTTAAAAGTGAACAGGCTCTGGGCCTGCATTTTAAAACTGCTGTCAAATGTGCAGTGTTGAAAATGAGGGGGGAAAAATCCAGTGAGACATACATTGCAAAATCAGATACGTCAACAGGGAAAAAAAAGGTAAAGACAGCATTGCAATATAGTCCATGTCTATAAAGCCTCCCTTGTTTAAGATCCCACTGCAATTCAGGAGCAAGGTCTCTGCAGTGGGAGTCCTGAGACAAGCAGCCAGCTGCCACGGAGGCTGCACAGGAAAGGACCAGAAGTGTGTCAGGTGTGGATGTCAGCTGTCTGTGTAGATGAACAGAATATCTTCATCAGTGCCGTAACTCGTCCTGGCTTCCTCAAAGTTACTGATGCTGGTGCAGCATGTTCCTGTTAAGGAGGAACAAAATGTTAGTACAAGTTCAGAAGAATTTGCCTGTGAAAGGCTCTTACACTGGGTCTAGCAGCTTCTCTGAAGAAAAGTAACTAGTATACAGACTAGACCTATCAGTTTAGGTTACAGCTTTACTCAGGTAGATCTTTTCACCTCAAAGGCAGTGCTCACTGAAGTAATGCTGTAAATAGGTACTAAACTGGCCATCCTGTTATATTCCACTGTTCTGGGTTTGTGTGGCAAGGTTGGGGGGGGGGGGGGG